ACATCATACAGGCAGGAGTACTGTTGCCACAGCTCCATGAACCTTTCCTCCATCTCATAATTCCACCTAGCAGCACCATCATCTCTCTTTCGTTTTGCCATGTTTGAAACCTGTGTATGAAAGAGCTTCTGTGCTGCTATTGGTCAACGTCACCAATGTGACAGAACTCGTCGTGGACGACAGAAAAAAAAATAAACATGCTAGTCTTTCTGTAGTGAAGCATCGCAGACGCGGAATCGGTTGTTGTCCACTATGACACACTACACGTGCTGAAGCGATGGAATCTTGCGTACCGACGCCCATTGTCATTTATGAATCCCCACGACACCCTACGTCAAGCAAATCGTGGCAAAATCGGGCTAAAATCGTGTAGTCTGAACCGGGTATGAGATGAAAGCAACAGCTTTACCAGCTTCATGCATTACTAACCAGACTGACTTTATTTCTGCCAGACGTCTACAAAAGATCTTATTGAGAATAAACAGAGGTTTAGATTACCATTGTGGAGATGAGTGTTTGCTTTAGTTGGGCTCCTGACTTTTGAACATTAGCTTTTGTTTGATTGCTGTAACTGTGTCTTTAAGTTGCCATTATTATATCAAAGTGGTTATGGTTGACCAGGTGGTGATGGTTGTTTATTGTAGCTGCATTTAGAATATAGTTACTTAGTCTTGCTCTCACTGATTTATATGAGTGTTTCATATTTTATGATTTTCCTTGGGAATTACAGCATTAGATTGAGGAGGATTGTGACGACCAGAAAATAAGAATTTAGAAACAGTTTGGGAACAAACTGTTTTGAACTACCATGTTGTGAACACTCAAAGAGAGACATCAAGAATCAGCATATGAATCTCAACAATGGTGACATTCAAAAGCTTCATGCTGCAATGCATGCTGGGTACCACCCATTACTCCCAGCATGCATTGCAGCATGAATAACTTATGCAGCTGAATTGCCCACTTATTTTCTTGAATTCTTATGTGCTTTTATTTTAGTTTTTGTGTTGTTTTAGTAGCATGTTTTGTGATGTTCAGAACTGATCTGTTTATTTATTTTGTTGGTCTTTCATAACTGATTGCTCAGCAGTGCTTGTTCTTCTGCTGTAACAACAATACTCAATATTAATATTCAATGAAAAAAAAAACACCGGATAAAATCAATGAATTAAAAGCAATAGAACATTTGCTCTTTTCAATCTGCAAGCAACAATAATTTTTTGCCATAACAAACATGTTTCAAAAACACATTATTACAGCAGCCAAAGAAAAGATAATATAAAAAGTCAAGGTTCAAGAGCCCAACTAATGTAAACACTGATCCTCCATCATGGTAGTGAAAAAAATAAAAAACATCTAAACCTCTGTAACTCTCAATAAGATCTTCTGTAGACGTCTGACAGAAATAAAGTCAGTCTGGTAATAATTGAAGCTGGTGATGCTGTTTTAGGAGTTGTTTAATCAGATCTGATTTTAGTTGATTTCAACTAAGGCTGTGGCTGAAGTCAGTTGCAGTTCTTGTGTTTCTCTTTCATTCAGTGATTCTGATTGTTAACAGCAATTGTTCATCTCTAATGCACAATCATCACTTAATTAATCACAGAATTATCTCACTAACTTCAGCACTGCTTCACTCTGTAGTGTGCACACATTATAAGTGTTCATTTAAAACTGAGGATTTTATTATTAATCACAGAATTGTCTCATTAACTTCAGCACTGCTTCACTCTGTATGGACATTATATGTTCATTTAAAACCAAGGATTTTACTGTGGGGTTTAAAGGGTTAAAGATGCGAGATTTAAAAAAAAAACAGCATGAAATGTAATTTAACAGTAATAAACTGTAATTAATTTATAGCAACAAACTGTAGAATAAACAGTAACATGCTGGCAACCAGAGCTGCCAGTAGATTACCGTTAATTCAAGGAAAAAACAGCAATATACTGTACAACTTAACAGTCAGATTTACTAAACAAAACAAGTTAATTTCACTGAAATATTAGTGAATGTTCATAGAAAAAAGGTTATGCAAAGTCATTAACTGATAAGGAGAGTAAATATTTAACTGAACTGTATTAATGTGTTTTTGCACAAGAGAGATCTGTTAGTTTAATGTAGTTTTGTGGGTCACCATTGTGCTGGAGAGTAGAGCCTGTGCTTCAGTCAATGTCAATGATGAGACACAAACGTTGATGTGCTGCTGCTTTGTTTAAAGACAGTAACTGAAAGAGATGGTTACTGAATCAACAATTCCACAGTGATCAACAAGTGTTTTAGTACATGTGTTTTTAC